GCGGAGGCTTCGCCAGGTGACGCCGTACGCTGCTCGCTGGGAGCGGGGAAGCACAGAGTGAGATCCTGGAACAGTTCCCAGAGGCATGGCGGCGCACACAGGGGCTTGCTGAGGGCGAAACGGGGCTGCTGCCAGGGGACTGGCCTCCCGTCCCCATCTTTTCCTACTCGAAGGGCAAGGAGGCAGGTCTGAAAGCCGGCAAAGCCCCCGTCACCGCACTTTGCAGGGGCGTTGAGAGGCGCAGGCCTGGTCTCCAGCCCAGTCCGGCTGTAGAAGTGTGTTTGACAAAGCAGTAAGTCCATGTGGGGTTTTGTGCTTTCTTTTCTAGATGCCTGTGACCGTGGGCCCGTATGGGCAATCACAGCCCAGCTGCTTTGACAGAGTAAAGATGGGTTTTATGATGGGCTTTGCAGTGGGCATGGCAGCAGGAGCGCTGTTCGGCACGTTCTCCTGCCTCAGGTATGTTGAAGAAATGGCTTCCACGGGCCGGTCGTGACACAGTGACAGCCAGAGAGAAACGGTCCCGCTGTGGGATTGGGAAGGGAGGTGCAGGTCGTGGGTGAAACTTCAGTAGTGGCTCTGAATGAGCCGCAGTTTGAGGCCCTGCGGGTAGCCCTGGCTCCACGTGGGGAAGTCTGGCAGTGGCAGAGCGTCAGCCATAAGGCAGCTGTGTTGGGAGGCTGAGGCTGTGGCAGGTCAGCTCCTGGAGGAGCTGCATGAATTGTCTGTGCAGACCCAAGGGCAGCCCTCCCCTCGCTCTAAAGCTTCCTGAGGTACTCTGCAAGCTCTCGCGTGTCTGCATCGAGGCTGCTTTGGGTGTCCCGTTCCCCTGAATGGAGGCAATTACCATACTGACCCCGAGTCGTAATTGCAAGAGCTGTGGCTGGCACTGGCACAATCCCATTGTGAATCAGAGAGGGATGATATTCCACCTTCCCCAGGTGCTCCCTGGCATGCCAGCATGGGAACAAACAACACTCGCTGCCTGGTTTTGACATGCATTATTCATGAACGGGAGTTAGTGAAACAGGCTCCTTCATGTTTTGCAGAATTCTTTATGCTGGAGGCTTTTTAATCTGTGATTAAACATGGGCAATGATCCTGCAGTGAGCCTAAAAGGAGGAAAAGGCATGAAGTCTGATCTGATAAGAGTAAAAAGTTTTCTGATGCCTCTCAGGTTCTGGAGCGTATTTGTAAGTGACGCAGTGCAAGCAGAACGCGCAGGTGGCGGGTATCTAGAAGCATTTAGAGGGTATTTAGAAGCAGCAGTGACAGCGGTTCTGTTGTGTTTGAGTGACACAGCTACATGGCTTTTGCTGTACCATTTTTGTGGGAAAATCTCCATGTTTTAAAAAGAAGTGCATGAAATTCCTTAGACCCTATAGTCACTGCAGTGCTTAAAAGCCAGATATTACAAGGGCTTCCTGAGAAGGAACAGTTCATTTTGTTTTGGCCTGACCTCAGGTAAATGGGACCTGGAGAACAGAAACGCCTCTGGACACTTTTAGGCCTTTCAAGTTTCTCCCATATTAAAAAATACCGTCTCAGTGGAAAATAGGAAGTTAGTTTACTACACGGGTTTAAGTTGGTGGTATTCAAAATCCTGGCACTGCAGCCAGACAGGGTGGTGATACAACAGCTCAGACCGTTTTTATTCTCTGGCAAGTCAAATACTTGGACAGCACCATTTTTTTTCCCCCAAATTACATGTATTTAGGACACTAGCATGTAAAGCTGTTCCTGTTAGTGGTGAGGCAGGTACAGCGTCAGCTGGTACTGCTGCAGGCCAAGGAATACACACGGGCTATTGGTGTGGGTCACTCAAGTGCCCCAAAGAGAACAGCTCTGTATTTTTTTGTAGCAGCTCGGGCATGGGGCAGCACAGCCCGTCCCCTTGCTGGGGCAGGAGGTGTCATTTTAAATTTGACTGAAGAGGAGGTGTTTGATCTGGGCACTCAGGCAACCGTTAGCTGGTTGTAGCAGACGTTTTCTGCTGCATGTCTGTTACCTGTCCCACTTCTGGCTTTATATAACCCTGGTGTTTTTTCTTTATCTCAGGATTGGCATGAGAGGACGAGAGCTGATGGGTGGAGTTGGCAAAACGATGATGCAAAGCGGTGGGACATTTGGGACATTCATGGCTATTGGTATGGGAATTCGCTGCTAACCTGGAGCACCCCCGTCCAGCCGTTCCTCCTCTGTACCATAATAAAATCTTTAGATACCTGGAAGCGAGAGCTCGTCGTGAAGTGGTGAAGCACCATCCCCCTGCAGTGCTGATTATAAACATCCTTTTTACCAAATCATAGAATCACAGACCGGTTTGGGTCGGAAGGGACCTTAAAGATCATCCAGTTCCAACCCCCCTGCCATGGGCAGGGACACCTTCCACTAGACCAGGTTGCTCAAAGCCTCATCCAGCCTGGCCTTGGACACTCCAGGGATGGGGCATCCAGAGCTTCTCTGGGCAACAAATTTCTATTTTCTTCCCATCTCTTACTCTCATGACAATGCAAATTAATGATCCTTTGTACTACATTACAGTTCCTGTTTCACAGGCCCAGGTACAGCACAGACATTTCTCCCCTTGGCACTTGGGCAGCTCCCATCTCCCATTCCCTATATGTCCTTGTTGAGCCGCTCCATTGCACTGCTGCATTCCTGAGTCTAGGGAAGTTCCTCTGTGGCCGATTCAAATTTCTCTCCTTTTTCGAAAATGGGTGGGTTGAAGCTGGCCCCATTTCTGAGTTCCAGGTAGTAGGGGGCAAGCACACTCCTGGAGAGCGAGGGACCGCAGGACTTGACTTGGCATGTCCTTTCTGCAGCTCGCTGGCAGCACGTGGGGGCAGGCAGCAGTCAGGGATGGCCGTGCAACTGGAGCCGGAAATGGTTAAACTGCTGGAAAACGGCCATCTGTCCATGACAGCTCAAGGTGTTCTGTGAGGGGTCACAAGGATGACCGAGAGCAGGCACAGGCCGGGCCTTCCCCAGAGCCACCCCTCGGGACTAGCTGTCTGCGAGTCACT